TTACCTGTACCCCGACACTGTTTTCACAGGGTCGTGAGTCGGCGGGTTGAGAGTAGAAATGTCAGGAAGATCAATTTTATTCATATTTGGTTTTGACAGGTAAACTCTGAGAACAGTCAGATGTTAAAAGGGTTAAAATCTTAATTAAACTTCCACTTAAGTCACCTCAGACAGTAGAGTGGTTGAGACGGCAAAACTGTACTACTACTCAGTCTTTGTCACATGCAATTAATGTTGAATTTTGTATCTCTTTACATTTTTTGGTGGAATAGTCTCCGAAATTTCACCCGTCCATCTGCGGCACTCGTGTTCTCATGCTGTTACTTGTTCTCTTGGGTTTGGAAATAATAAGAGTCTATTCTTATTGGGCCAACAGCATATTAAGGAAATGCAGTCAATAGGTTGCTGGTTCAATGCCAGATGCTGGCACGCTGGAGCCACCGGAGATCATTCTGTGAGGAGGTGTTTGCCTGTCTGGATGGGCATGACAGTAGAAAACGTTAAAGGCAGGCTGTAAGCTCCCATCCAATCAGAAGGTGCGGGGAATTCACTGTGCAGTATCACGTATGAGGCTGTGGAGTTTGGGGGCTTCCCATGAAGAGGAAATCTAAATCAGCATTAAGGATTCAACAATGATAAGCAGACAGTAGCTTCAGTGTGAGGTTTTCATTAGTTAGCTCTCCGTAAAGCATGAAGAACCACACACACGTGAAAAGGATCAGCCACAGACGCCATGTGCTTAAAGCTCCTGCAGACGGCCCAACCTCACGTCTAACCGTGGTTGTGACAGCCTTTAATGTGCTCATGTATGTTTGGTGGTGGGGAGGGCTGTGGAAGCACAGCTGTGTGAGGCGTGATCGTGCACCGCAGAGATGTCCACAATTTAAAATGACTTGTTCAATTTAGGCACTTAAAATACTTTATTGTTAAAAACACAGTTGTTGTTTTATTAAGCTTTGTTTACTTGGTTTCCATGGTGCTGTCTCCACATTTCCTCTGTTGGGAAAAATGCCTGCACTGATTTCTGATACGAAGAGATTTATTGAGTCATCGGCGGTGAGCAGCCGGCCTGGGCATCGATACGCCATCAAGCAGGTCGTTGTAAGCTCTGAGTTTGTAGGTGACGTGTTTGTGTTTTTTCTATTTATTTTATTTTCATTTGACAGCTTCTCAGATTGTAGTGTCCTTCTCATTTCCTTTGTTGGTCTGCTCTCGCCATGTAGTTCCTGTTTGTCCTGTTTTTTGATTCCCCTCCTTCCTACTGCGAGTCCAGTTTTCACTTAAAGCACGAAGCCGTCCTCGCTCGCCTTCTCTGGGATCCTTCTTCCTGTTTTCACATTTCAAAACTTGACATCAGGCTTTCACTCCTTCTTCTTTCTCCTGCCTGCATCATGTTGGCAACAGGAGCTGACTGTTTGTTATTGGAGTCTATATTCACTCTGTAACTGATTACAAACAACGTCTGACTCAAATTTGGTTCCTTTTTAGTCTGGACCTGAGGTTAATTACCTTTATTTTACTGCTGCGTCCAAGTGTTTCAGCATCTCACCATCACTGTGTTTTAGAGCAGCTGTTTCATATGCACAGCGTTCATGCACAAGAACTATTAGAATGAGATACATTAAGATTGACTGCCAGCTGTTTTATGCTGGTCTCTGACAAACAGAGAGGAACTGTTGGGGTGCCTGGGTCGAGTTCTGAGTGTTCATTATTATTGGACTTTGATTTTTGCTGTATTTGTCATTTCCAGTCTTTTGGTTTCTTTGTCACAGTTGTGTTTTCGGGTTCTGTTCTGTTGCTGTATCTCTGTGTCAGTCTACGTCTCTGTGCCTGCCTGTGAGTCTGTGTTATGTTTCCTGTTTTACTTTGAAAGTCCGTGTCTCATGTTAATGTGTCGGTTGTGCTTCCTTTGTCTCGTTAGGCCTGAGTTGTCCCAGCTGTGTTTCCCTCCTGTTACCCTTTCCCTGATTGCTCCCTCTGTGTATTTAAGCCGTGTGTTTTTCTGTGTCGCGATCTACTCTTATCTTGCTGTGTGTTCTGTTTGTGTAAGTTTACCTTGGAGTCTTAGTTTTGTTACCTTTTTGGAGTTCAGCATTAAAGCTGTATTTAAGTTCACCTTTTGTCTCCGAGTGTCTGCACATTGGGTGCTTTTCCTGCACACAGCCTTCAGGAACAGCGGTGGAAGCGCAGGGTGACATGTTGTCTCCCCCACCATTTCTCTCTGGCGGTCTATTTTTAGGGAAGCAGTAACTGGGCTGCTGACAGCTCGCTCTGATTGGACAGAAGTGTCCCAGGGGTCGCAGGTATAAATTTACATAGTTCGATCTGAATCTGTTTTAACCCTCACAGTCATTAAATCTGGGAGAGGACACGTTTATTCTGGAGGACGTGTTTTTGACTTACCTGAAGGACGAAACTCAAAATTTCAAATCAGTTAAAAACAACACCTGTGTTTATTAATAACTGTGCTCTGTAGAAAGTGTGAAGGTGTTTCTTAATGACCTCCCTTTGGTTTTGAGTCTGCGTACCTGCAGTATTCGATCGCCCTCTCTGATGCGTCCGTTCTTGGCTGCGATGCTGTTTGGATTAACCTCGCATGAAAGTGAGAAATGATACATTACCTCATGAGTTAGGAAAGAGATGCATTAATAATAAATTAATTAATAAATACATGAGCAAGTCACTATAGGCTGGCCTAATTAATAGAAATTAGGAGAGGCTGGTTAAGAAGTAATGAAGGAAGTCATTAAATGAGCGCTGACACTTTAGAACACGACCCGTGAATAAGGCGCAGGTCCCCTGTACTTTGGTGTATTTTGCAGGCAGCAAGTCAGGTTTTTGCAGGAAACAATGAAACAAGTACACTGTAAGTACTCTGTACTTTCTGGAGTGCGAGACATATTATGTCAGGTGCAATTACACAGTAGCAACAGCGACTAACGCTCAAGTAGCCTCAAGTAGCCTGTAATTACGTGTCAGGTTTTTGCAGGAAACAATAAAATAATTAGGCTGTTAGACCACAAGTACCCTGTGATTATGCACAATTTTGTTTTTAGTTTTACAGGAAACAATAAAATAATATCAAAAAATAACATTTTAAGTACTGGGTCATTTCATGGTAAATTTCCAGAAAATCAAGCAATATTTCCCCATTTTACATCTGATGCACCCTGTAAAATCCTGCAAACTGCACATAAGTACAGAGTACTAGAACCTTAGTCACTGCATAACACAAAGCACACCATAGAAACTACAGGATACTTACAGTGTACTTGTTTTATTGTTTTCTGCAAAAACCTGACTTGCTGCCCTCAAACTGCACATAAGTACAGGGTACTTGCGCCTTATTCACGGGTCGTGTTATAAAGTGTTACCAAATGATGTACAAAAAAACTACTAGAGAGTGAGTTTAGTGAGTGAATTAGTAAATGCACTAATGACTTTCAAACAAAGGGTTAAAAGAAGATAGGTTCCTGTCTCCTGTTACCTCCCCAACATAAATGCCCAGATCCTCCTCATCATCCGTCCTGTAGCAGACGGTCAGACCCAGCTTCTCCTGCTGGCTGGACTTGTACAGCTCCACCTCCTGCAGGAAACACAGGTAACACTGTTAGATGCTTCCTGGTGAGCCTCGCAGCTGTTCACGTAGCTTTGTTTGTTCAATAGCCAATTCTGTGATTCTGCAAGTGAGAAGCAGTTATTATCATAAATATTATCTGAGTGGCTCCTTTACAGCTCAGTGTAAAGCTGAAACAGTCCAACATGACTCGCCTGTGAAAAATCTCACTGCTCTTTGTATCTGAACATTTGAAATACTGTTGAGGTCCATCCACTCTGACAGAGACCCAAATGCTTTTCTAAAGTTACTGACCCATAACCTGAAACTTCACACAGACCTGATCAGATAAAGTTTGTGCTATCTGCTCTGTTCTTTCACTGTATTTCATACGCTGACACACAGAAGTTGCTAATAATTGATATGTGACAAATATGTTGAAGGGTGAGAGCATCCATGTTTGTGAGGGGAACAAGAGGCAAATAAAAAGGAGTTGGGAACGATAATGAGGTCAGAAAATGTGATAAAAATTCCAAAAAACGATAAAAATGTCTGATCGAACTGACTTTGAATGGAAACCTTATTGAAGGATAAAACTGAGTAGACGGAGCAAATGAGCGCTCTTCAAAGACCACCGCAAACCATCAATAATAAGATGAGGCTTGTAAAGACCAGTTAAGACCATCATATATGCAGCAATCAACAGAGGAAATGGACAGAGAGGAGAAGGTGATTTAGGAAGGAAATGAAGGATGAAATTCAAGGAAGGCAATTAAATCTGGAGATATGGATGTAAGTAAGGGGGCACGCTATCTAATGATTGTAATTTGAAGAACTGAATGACAGAGGAAGTCTCTGATATACCAGCTGGAGAAGACGTTTCCACTTTGCTGACCTCTCTAATGACCAAACTGTCATTTGTCTGAGGAAACAGTCAAACCAGCGAAGCAGAAACAAAGAAGCGTGTCCATTCAGCCTAAAACAGCGACCGATTAGATATTTATACACCAAAAATGTGGCTGATCTGACCTTTACTCACAAAACAAGTCATTTTGTTTCAGTCGCGCTCTCCATGGCCTGATTTTTGCTGCACAGGTATAAATGTCTGTATTCTTATATTTTTTATTTCCAGTGATTTTTTTCGTCTCTGACATCTTCCTCGTCTTTTTTCATGCTCCCTTTAAAAGAATGATCATTTAACTGGTTCCACCATGAGAAAAGGACAATGCAAAAATATTAAATCTGATAAATATTATACACAAGTTAATTTCATAAATTAAAAACAGACTAGTATCAGAGTACTAATGGTCAGGTGTGGTGTCTTGGCTGTGCCTAGCAGGGAGGAGGCTCAAAGGCACACTGGACAGGGGTGGGAGCAGCACCAGAGGAGCTGGAGGAGGTGGCGACTGCTGACACCCGTCCTGGATGAACAACAAAAAATGTGGATCGATGGAAATGTTGCCCACAAAGGTGCATGCAGAGTGAGCGCAGTAGACAGTTTAGTTTGGACTCAAATAGAGAGTGTGCTACTTTAAGTCTTAATATGCATCAGTTGTGCAAAATGATCTCCAGACCAACGAACAAAGATTTGTCTCGGAGACGTAAACTACCGTCTCCTACGCTGCAGTCAAATCCATCCACTGTGTGGCTCACATGGATGAAATGAAAATGTGAACACAGCCAGGCTTTTAAATGTGCTTCAGTCTTATTCTGGATATCCTTCACAGTGAAACAGTGAATGGTATCTTTCACCGGGGAGACACGTGATTGAAAATGCATGAAAATTGAGTCTCTGCTCCGAGCTGACATGATGAACCACAGCTGGGAGCCCTGCTTTATATTCCAGACGTATTCATCAGGATAAGTGACTTGCATGTGGCTTTGTGCATGTATTTTTCATGGAGTCACAAATTTGCCTCCGGGTATGTGGAGGTTCCTCTCAGGATGGGGTCCAGTGCTTGAAAAAGGTTGACAACCATTGTGTTAGTGAATGGGAAAAACTGCCGAAGGAATTTTCGGAGTTCTTTCATTTTGTGTCATTTGGTTGTTGGAAATGCAGCTGAAGCTTTCTCACCTCATATTCCAGGTCATCCTGCCGGTCCACCTCGTGGTTGGATACATCAAAGTAGTCATTGGGGTCGTTGTATTCAAACACACAGCTGGAGACAGAGAGGAGGGAGACAGAGGAACCAATCACCATCGTGTCTGAGACATTTGTGGAAAGTTTTAAATCAATGTTGTTTTAGTGTGAAGAAATGACCACGAGTCAGAACGTACAACTCATTGATCTCGTACGGCACTGCCAGGTGAGGGAGGGGAGGTGATGGAGGAGGTGGTGGGGGAGAGGAGGAGCCTCCCTCACCATGGTGGTGGTGGTGATGGTGACCTCTGCTTCTCCCCAGGGTCAGAGTGTTCTGGAAACTGATGTCAGTCTGCGTTGCATTATCAACACAGTCAGGGATCGCCACCATGGCAACAGAAGAGACGGAGGAGCTGACCGTCCCGTTACCGCACACCAGCGTACCTGAGGAGGAGACGCAGGAGATTCAGGAGCACAGATGACGGAGCCGAGTTTAAACTGAAACTCTTTGGACAAACTGAACTTTACACGTTATAATATTTTTGATGATTTGAAGACTAACCTAAAGTGTAACTAACGTAGACGTGTTAAAAACTGCCCTTCCTCATTAGACTCTAATATTAGAATGATTGACTTTATAGCAGAAATAAATGTTAACCGGGTTACACAGTCCTATCCTTTTGGTCACTTCTAGCTCCAACCTTTCCTTTTGTCTTTGTCTTACTCTTCCAACTGTGAACTTGAGAATGTTTTCTAAGGAGCTTGGAAAGAAAAGCGTCTGGACTTCTTTAAGTTGCTTGAAGACGTTTTACCTTCATCGGAGAAGCTTTTTCAGTTCTCGGGTCAAACGGTGGAGATCCCAGATTGGTGGTGCAGTCTTTAGTTGGACCTAATGCTGCATTATGCATGATCAGGTCAGCGAAATTAAAGGAGCAGCTTTGAGCTACAACCTTCAGAGGTGGAGTCTAACACGATGAAGAGTTCAGACGTCCTGCTATCACACAAAGTAGCAGTCCATCTGAAGCTGCCTTCACATTTCAGGCTTTGGTTTTCTCAGATTTACTCAGCTGACCTTCAGAAGCTCTACAGAGAAATGGAAATCTCCCCTTTTTGTAGAACACCATAAACCCAGACTCCAGCATTTACAGACTGTTTGCACCTGTGATCTGTTGCTCACCAACATTTCCGTCCACATCAGACCTGCACTGTCTTTTCTATCTGCTGGAGATTTTGCTCACAAACACAAATCACCTCTCTGTTCTCAATAACAGCTGGATTACATTTATAAGTCTTTATCCTGTCTTCCTTCTCTCACCCCAACCGGTCGCAGCAGATGACCCCACCCCTCCCGGTCACAAGGTTTTGAATCAAACCATGATACTGGCCTTCACTAAGTCCTGCTGTGGTGGATTTAGAGCCTAATCCGGGCGAACTGTGACTCATATGAAAGGACCAAGTGGCAGTAGATGCGTTCACTGACTGTGGGACCTTTCGATCACCTTGCTTTCGCTTTGCAGTTGTCTGAAATGTTACCTACTGATGGAGGTCTTTTCTTTTTCCCCACTGTCATCATGTGTGGCTCACAGGTGACTGTATGTTTTTCATAGTAATATTGTAGGATCTTTACAGTATGAACTTTACAACTGAACTGAACATTGCAGCTTTAATTAAAGATTTCTTTATTTCTTTGTAACTGGCTCACAGTCGACGTCCTTCAAATCGATTTTATGATGCTGAGCTTGGTGACATCATTTTTATAGTCAGAGTGTTTTCATTTAAAGGAAAGCAAAGGTGACAAAGGTGTCATAAAATCTCCCACATTATCCCCTCATCAGGACGACCCGAGCCGAGTCACAGCACGTGGAAGAATATGTCTGAAAACCCATTTTTAGGACCAACATGATCATACGCAAAGTGGATGATGAAGTAAGAGCTGGAGAATGAGCAGGAGATACTAACTGCAGCATACATGTGTTTTCATCAGCAACTGTTTGCTCGAGTAGCTGAAGTGAGCAGACTTGAAAGGAGGCAGGTGACGTGAGTGATATTGAAACAGAGGCACTGATATTAAAAAGCTGCAGTTACATCAGAAAAGATGGTTGAACTGCAGCAGTGACACGAATATTTGATGCTAAGAGCGAGAGAGATGAAAAGTTTAAAGAAATGAGGGAGACAGATAAAATATCACAAGCAAGAGCTGCAACATTAGCTTAAATGAGGCAGAACGAAAAGAAAAGGATGAAAAGATTAGCTGAGATGTAATGAGGCAAGAATATGGGAACGGTGAAAGAGAGATCATTAAGTGTGGTTTGGGCTAAACGTGAGGAAGAGCAGTGAGGTTAAAGGATGAGACGGAAAAAGACAGGAAGAAAGGAAAAAGGATTTGTGTCTGACAGAAACAAAACTTCAAAGACGGCAGAAAAGACAGGAAGCACCTGTGAAAAGAAGCAGGTAAAAGCACTGACACAGTCTGTGCTCTTTCATGTGTCTACTATCTGATAAACGGTTTACCTTTCCTCCTGTGACTTTTGCACCCCAGCCCAGACTGGCTCAAAGGCTCCTGGGAGTTTTGTGATCGGTCTAGCGGCAGCTGAGAGGGTCTTCTTCCTCTGAGCTAAAGAAGAATGCAGGTTTATCCAGCTTCATTTATATGCAGACAATGAACGCATGAAGAATAAATTAAGTTCACAAGGAAAACAAAAATCAGAGACGGTGATGAAATGTATGCAGACACAATAATTTAGCATCATATCACAGATGTTTGGGTCCCTGCTGATCTGCAGAGATCATTCAAAGCACCACAGCTGCAGCACTTTGCACTTACAGCAGGATGGAAAGCTTTATAAAAATGTCTGCCACTGTCGCCCACTGATATGAGTGTCTGTGGGTCAGTCACAGCCCATTTACAAGTGACTGTTACACAATGAACGCCTTCCTGGAGCAGTGAATGGTTGTCTATGTCAATAGTGTCTGATGTCACACGGCTTTCTGAGCTGCAGCTGAAATTTAGAGTGAAGTTCCAGCAGCTGCAGATACAAGAGAAGTTTCACCCAGACCGACAGCTTCAGTCTTCAAAGAACAAACTGTAAAAGCATCATGAGAGTCTGTTACAAACAGATCTGAATGAGGAAACACTAAAAGAGTAAAGTGTGACTGAACAAACCAGAAGGATGCTGGTTTGATTTATCTGCTCTTATATTTAAAGAGCAGGGAGGAGAAATGTTGTTATTCTGCTGTTTGTGGTGCTAAAGGGAAAAGTGTGCCTGCCTCACAGTGAAATATCTTTATGTGCAGTAATAAGACCAGCAGGAAAAGCTGATCCTCTGTGGGGCGGTGCAGTAAATACAACAGCAATCATCTACTTTCAGAAATACAAGTCTGTCATTTTTGTGCAAAATGACAGTTATTAGGATTCACTCTGCGGTGACCTCTAATATCAACAGCAGATGTTCGTATATGATCAGTTTTTGAAACCTCGTGCTGAATATAAAATAACAGAGTCTAATATTTCATCTTCACGTTTCCTGAGAAAGTGGAAGCATGGTGATGAGTCAGAAAAGCTCCCGACAAACCAGGACCAACGACAACAAGAGGAATAATGAGTCAGACGAACAAAAGCTGTGATTAATGAATTGAATTCAGAAATCAGGTGTGTGAAGAATCTGATTAAATGGTGTCGGTGGAGCACCGGAAAAAGGTTTCAAGGTCGACTAATAACCAGGATAGAGCACGCCGGGGTCTCTGTGCGTTACCTGAATAAATCCGTTTGTTTTTTAAAAGCTTTGTGTGTCTAACAAACGTTTTTTCCCTAAATACATTTTTAACAACATTTCAAAATGAAATCAGAAAATGACAGAAATCAGGAAAAAGGAGTAGTAACTTGATTATAGTTGGACGATGAATGTATTTTGTAGGAGGAAGTGTTGCATATAATAGAAGA